CATCCTCGAGCACCCCTACGATATGGACACCGCTTCTAGTAGCCCGGAAGGCTTAAATACAGAACAACCAGCTCTCACATCTCAGATGCCCACAGTCAGCACAAAAGCCACTATCAAAGATGCAACACCTAAGAGGAAGAAAACACAGGGTCACCAGAAAGCCTCTTCAGTATGTTCATCGCACAATTTTTTCAACCAGACGAGCCCTTTGTTAACGAACTTGAAGCAATACTCGGTGTCTTCAGCAATGAATGGATTAAAAACATCAGCATCCCGAGAAGTTTCGCCAATGTCCAATATGGTGCTCAGCCACGGCAGTTCTCCAGCGCCTCTCTTCAATTCTCCCTCGCCCAACAATCAGATAGATTTCTCCAGAGTTGTGAATGGAGGAGTGGGAGCACAGCATGTGTGGCCAAACAAAATCGACGTGGCAGCGCAACCTGTGCCCGACGGCTTGCCTATGCATTTTAGCGGTCAGATGAACCAGCCTATGCCTATGCCGCAGCAGATGCCAATGCCCACACAGTTCAACTTCAATGGACGATGCCAACTAAAAATCATGCCTACGCCTCTCAAGTCGAGGGTCGAGACCCAGATCCCTATCAAAATGACCCTGTGGCCATTGCCGCCTGGGGTCACCAAATTGCATCTGCCACCCCACACCATCTCAAAGCCTAAGCTGTTGTCGAAGCCAACGCCTGAGAAGTCTCCGGATATGCTCGAGCTGCATGTCTCATTAGTTTGCACGAGTGCCATGGATGAGCCTGGCGTCAAAGAAGCCGCTCTCAAACGGGCGGCATCACACCCTCAAGGCTATCTTCCGCCTCAGCCAGACAACAGCGGTTCTCAACCAAAAGGCGGTGATGTACGTATTTGCCAAGGATGCATAACGAGAGAGCGAAAGCGCGCGGCTCGGAAAAAGGTCAAGAAGCCAGAGGAAGAGAAGGTCTGGCTGCAAGACGAAGAGCGCCGTGTCATTGTCTTCAACACACAAGAAGTCAAGGACTGGCAACCTCCTAGCGGCGTCATGGAGTCAACTGTTCCCGAGGGTACCATGCAGGTCGATGCTGCGATGCGCATTGCTTGCTATTGTCGGCACCATGGAGAAAAGATGGGATTCAATGTTATCTTCACCATTAAAGATTTTCAAGACAGAGTTGTCGCTCAGGCCATGTCTAACCCAATTATGATCACTGACGACCACAAGACTCACCCGATTGCTCAGGTCACGGCACAGCAGCCAGCTATTCCGGAGCCTCCTATGCCATCCGCACCCCAAGCAAGTATTGAGAACAACGTTCTTCTACCACCTACTGCCAATGGACCCTTCCGCATGTCGCCATCTAGCGGCGATTTGTCGAATATGCATCGAAGCAGTCAGGCCTCATACCAATCTAAAGCCTCGTCTACTGGTAATCTCGGCAGGACACTCTCACGCCCGGCTTCGCCAACCCTTGGTGGCCCGATGGCAAAGAAGAGAAAGTCGAGCGCTTCGCGAGTTCCCAATGGACTTACCATGACCCGCTTGGATACGTCACCTTCTCCGGGCGCGGATGTTAATCAGCTATCTAATGCTACATCTCCTTTTACACCTAACCTCGCTGCCTTTTCTCAAGCCGACCCGATGTTTGGACAGCAAGCAATGGCCTTCACCACAGGTCCTCCTACACCCAGCAACGATATACCAGGATTCTACGCCAATCACCGCTCCGCGAGTATGGATAACATGGCCATGGCGCAGCTTTACTCAGCACCTGCTTCGGGGCACCCAAGCCGTGCACCCAGCCCCAATGGCCTTCGAAACAGTATCGTTGGCAATCCCCAGAACCAATTTGCCCAGGCACTTGCCAGCACCTTCAGCGTGCCTACAGGCATGACTCCACTGCGAGCACCTCCAGTCATTCACAAGATCATCCCCAATGAGGGTCCTACAGTGGGAGGTATCGAAGTGACAGTCTTGGGTGCTGCCTTTTTCCAGGGGCTCGAAATCTGGTTCGGCAACCACAAGGCCACGACTACTACGTTCTGGGGCGAATCGTCAGTTGTCTGTCTACTGCCACCTGCTCCTGGCCCTGGCCCTGTACCTGTCACCTTCAAGAATCAGAACCCCCAGGCCGCTCAAGCTTTCTTGAACACAGCAAAACAGCCGCCTACTTTCAATTACTTGGACGATGGCGAGGACAAGCTGATTCGAGCTGCTCTGTCTGTACTGGGGCATAAGATGTCGGGTCAAATGATTGATGCCATGGACGTCGCGAGAAGAATTCTGGATAACGGAAATGGAAGCCACTGGTCTGGCGGTTCTGATGGTGCCCAGGGTGGTTCCTCATCAGGTGGAGCCATGTTCAGCCATGCCCCTTATGCTCATCTTGAATCTCAGCTCCTGAAGTGCCTGGACCTCATTGACCTCGATGACAGCATGCACAGAACCCGCCTGGATCTCAAGAGACCCACTGGTCATACTATGCTTCACCTTTCCTGTTCGCTAGGTTATCATCGCTTAGTTGCAGCCTTGCTGGCCAGAGGTGCAAACCCTGATGCTAGAGATAGGGGTGGCTTCACACCTCTTCACATCGCATCGATCCACAACCACCCTGAGATCGTTAGAAGGCTCATGCTTAACGGCGCTGACCCCACCATCAGGAGCGTATCTGGACTTTCCGCCTCCGATATTGCTCAGTCGCGTGCTGTAATCCACGCTATCCGCCGTTCTCAGCGACATGCCCGATCCCGCAGCAGCGGTGGCTCCGGTTCTCTTCACAGCCGTGCCAGCAGTGCCACTTCGCTCCGATCGCTCTGGGAGCCTATGACTAAGATTCACAGTCACGAAGAGCCAATCTCACCTGATTCTAGTGAGGAGAGTCCAGAGTACACATCGGGAGATTTCGAGGATGAGGATCCCGATGAGGATTCCTACCTGAGCATGAGAAGACCCAGTGGCTTCAGGCAAGATCGTGAGCGACCCAATCTTCGCCGCCAGCAGACTAGTGAGATGGAGGAGGAACTCGCACCACCTGCTACAACAATGGCTGCTCTCAAGGAGCAGTTCCAGCAACAGGTCCACCAATTCCAGCAGTTCCAACAGTCGATTGCCATGCAGTTCCAGAATTTCCCACATTTCCCTCAGATGCCTCAAATGCCTGCATTGCCTAACATGCCTGGCTACCAAGCACCCTTCATGCGACGAGTCCAGCAGTTGATGCCAGGTATGGCAGGTCCCCGTGCTGATGGCGAGCAGCCTCAGCGCTGGTGGGATTCGTCTCCCAAGGCAGCTGCTCCAGCACCTCCGGCTTACGAGGAGATATTCCCCCAGGAAAGTCTAGACCAAAAGCATGAGTCAGCTGCCCGAGCTGCTGTGGAAGCTGAGGCTGATCAAAAATGCGCGGCCCTGTTCGACCAGACCACATCTACTGATATCGAGTCGGCTGATATTACTGAAGTCACTGAAGTGGCTGAAATCAAGACCGAAGAGCCAGGAGTCCTGAAGATTGGCCGAAAGAACGCCATTACCAAGGAGCAGCAGGAGCAATTTCGCAGAGCACATGAGGTCAAGATGAAGAGGATTAGCAGTGACCACAATCTGTTCTTCATCTGGGTAAGTCACGTCGAAGTCTTTCTTACATGCATCCCAGAACTAACCAAGATACAGATCCCTCTTCTCCTTGTAATGATTTGCGGCATGCTATACAGCTACTTCCCTTGGCTCTTCACCTTTGCCTGGGCTTTTGTTCGCTCGCTATATCAGAACGGGCTCACCAAGACACAGCAACTACTTCAACAAAACTTACCAGAGCGGGTTCTTGAAGGTATTGAAGTTTGATGATTTATGATGGTGTTCCTCATCACTTGTTCACAATCCCAAAGCGTATTTATTTCTTCTACGGACTGGGCGTTTATTATTTGTTTTACCACTTATGACCGATACAACCTGCTTCTCCTTTACACTATTGTCATTCGTTCAGGCCTGCTGGGTCCTAGCGTACACAGAAATATTATATCTTCCAGGGCTACTACACAATGTCCAGAACGGCCGGCGTGGGATGGAATTGGACGGAACAATTAAATCAGAAACACGAAGCGCATAGCGGGTCGACGCGAACAGAGCCCTTTCTTGAGCAATTTTTCTTGAGATGAACTTGGACGGGCAATAGAGGTGACTTTTGAAATCGGGGTTTATCAACTGTTTTAACACACAACTATGGGAGGTCTCCTGGGCAGATGGGTGATTAGGGAATATGAGATGTTGATGTTTTCTGGTTATGGATCTCTGGTGAATGAAGTGGGTGAAGATTTTGGTGGAATGTAAGGAGACTGTATATGTATGTATATAGGTATAATCGAAAAGGCACAAATGAACTGGCTTAATTGATTGATATCTCTTGGTCGTCTGTCAGATTTCATCGTGTGTTTCAACATTGCCGGCCACAGACACTTTTTTAATCCCAATAAACATGCAAACCCATATTCAAGTGGAGAGCTCTTGTGATATTGCCCGTGTATTTCATCTTCACTTGAGCTAGTTCGATAAATCACACATACAGCATCGTGTCATGGCAGAATCGTTAATTAATACATATGACCCCCAACGCCGTTACCCTTCCGTCGGCCTTGACCCCAGGAGCACAGGCTACTATCAGACAAGGACCGTGTTCCACCACTATTCCCATTTTCCCCCAAGATCAAAACCTATACCCCCTTCCCAACCGATATCCCAAGTGCAGGAAGCCTCTATCCAACGGATGAGGAGACATCAGAAAAATCAATCATGTCGCATGTCATCATGGATATCTCCCACGTGAATATACAAAGAGTAATTCGTTCGTAAAAGTCCCAGAAACAAAAACAAGGTCGTGGCCGCGTCAAGAGTCGTTCGATCCGCCGCTGCAGAGCTTCTGAGCTCATGCTTCCATCTCACCACTGCCATTATCCGCTGTCCATAAGTGTCTCGCGTGCTGTTGTATGTTAACAATATAGTGAAAAATCAAGACGCCAACATCAGACTAATAACGAGAGCGAATTGCTGGAGCCGTGTTCTCAGCGTCTTCATCGTAGGCGGCAAACTTTTCAGGAATGTTAGGAACCTTTGGGATGCCCCTGTTAGCATTTGGTACGACACTGAGTCCTTCCGCAGCGCTCTTTCGCGAACGTAGGATTCGCGTATATTGGACCTCTTGCAGTGGCTGTCTAGACTCATCGATGCTCCTTCTAGAAGCAGAAGCAGGTCGGCGGTCGATGTCCAGGGAGCCTCGACCACCGCCTCCAGGAAGACGGCCTAGGACACGGCGAGCGAGTGTGTTATACTCCTTGCTAGCTCCATGAGGCCCCGACACACTACGTCGTGATGAGAGCATGTTGCGGCGAGAAGCGACATTCCGCAGTTTCGGTAGGGTGATATCTCGAGAAGCAGACTTACGTAGCTTCTTCTTTGGGGTTGGAGGGTCACGAGATGCATTCTCCTCTTCATCCTCAGAGTTTGAGTCGGCTGCTGCGCGCTTTGTTCCTCGGGAGGAGGCACTGGCAGGTGATCGAATAGGAGAAGGCGCACGAGAAGCCGAGGGCGTTGCTGCTCGAGATCCTCTGGTCTGTCGAGGCGGCTGCAGATAGTCTCGCGACATACGGCCGGTATAAACAGTTGGGGATGGGGCAGCTCCAATGGGAGTTGGTGGTGGAGCACTGTCAGAGATTGGGGGTGTGAAGAACCCCGATGCAACGAGCTCTTCATAAGTAGCAGCTCCTGGGCCATCGGGACGTAAGTGGTGCTTTTGCAAGTGCTTGATCTTGGTAGGCGACTTGGGTGGTGAAGGTGCATCATAGTTTGGGGCACGGGGAATACCATCTTGAGGCGTGGTGGCTCGAGATAAGGCGTCTCTAAGAGATGTCGCATGAGGCGGGGCAGATAGGTGGTGTGAGGTCTGAACAGAACCGGGAGGTGGTTGTCTAGTAGACTGAATAGCATGAGACGAGAAGAAACCTGAAGCCATCAAATTGTGATAGTTGGCCAATATCTCTTCTCGGCTGGGCATATCCTCCCTTGGAGTCTCTTCAACGGTCTTGAGCTCCGCAGGCCCATCTCTAGAACCATTCTCCCTCTCCCTTTGTCTGCCTCGTTGTTCAGACTGATCTCGCTTACGGCTCCTCGACCTCTTCCTTGCCCCTCTCTCTTCTTCATTATCCCTCTTAAATCCCAGTCTGCCTCGCACCTCATCCCAAACTTGGCCCAGAAGTCTTCCTCGCTTGACCTGCTTGTCGGAGAAGTCGTCGCTCATCGGTCGCGAATTATTGGATTTGATGTTTGTCAGAGCAGGTCGCTCCAGAGCAGCGCGCTCTTCAGGGCCCAGAAAGTGTACTGGGGGCGCAGCAGAAGTCCTATCATTCATAGAGCCTTCCTGAAATCGACTCGCACTGAGTGCGCGTCGACTCTTCGGCCGACCCATTGGTAAGGTTTTGTATGCGTATGGCGTATAAGTTGTGATACAGTCTTAAGCACGATTACGTCGGTATTCTTTCTCAACGATGGGGACGGGTAGAAAAAACGTTGAAGGTTTAGACTAAACTCAACACAACATGACGAGTTTAGAAGATGAGTAAAAAGGTGGCTCAACAAACAAGACGCATCTGTAAGACGTAGAGTTGATCTGGTCTACGAAGCAAGGTAGCTTGGACAGAAAGCGGAGGATTTGTTGACATTGGAGTACACGTGATTTCACCACAGCAACGAGCAAGAAGGAGCGGGGATGCAACGTACCTGCAGCAGTAGCGAGAGCACTGACCTGGAATGGAAGGAGGTACAAGGGTACTTTAATCGTCGGGAAGCCAAAAGTGGAAATACAGCTCCAGGTGAATTACCGAAACGGAGAATTAATTTCCTTTGTTTTAGACGAACAAGGGATCGAGTCACTCGAATCGTCGATTTCAGCTTTGGAAACGTGATCTTGGAACATATATCGACTTGTGACTTGGCATATTTCCACCGTTGAGCTAGAACAACTATACTCACATCTTATTCCTGCCAAGTTGCCTATCCATTCCATCAGTCCTGGCCTCGATTGTCCAAATCGAATTCAAATTCCAGAAGGGTAAGTCTGTGGAGCATGCACAAGTTATGTCGATCTGACTATACAAGCTAGACATGGATATCTGGTCGAGAATTCACTTTCTCGTCTTCTGCACCGACAGATTGGTAAGTATGCTTCACATGACACTGGACCAAATATGGCATGAATCAATGAATGATATGATTGTCTGTGATAACGCCTGTTGAATATCGAAACCTTTCCCAAAACCTCCCCTACTCAGGACTTGCATGGATAAAATCTATCGTCGTGTGCTACCAGCCCCATCCATGAAGTCTTCGTTTCGAGTTTACCCCGGTATCCCGGTATTGTTGCTCAAGTCAAGTCACACTGTCCTAGACAAACGTCGCAGATTGTGAAGTGAGATAGAATACCGAGGAAGTAAAAGATATGAGCGGAAGCAAAAGCCTTAGTAGCAGCACCAGTGGTCAAAGTAGGTAAGGTAGATCAATGTAAATAAAGATAAAGAAAAATAGCTGTCGTAGTGGGTGATCGTCTGTGATCGTAGAAAACAAAACCAGTCGTATCCAAATGTGAATGGTTCTGCTGAAGGAAATCTTTGCTGGATGAAATAATCCGGGTCCAATAAGTCTGCCATACCCAAGACCTCAAAATCCACATAATTGCGCCCAAACTCCTCAACATTGCGGTTTCATGCGTCTTCCGTCATTCCAAAATCGCCTAATTGATAGAAATACACAGCACTAGAACGCCAGAATCGATACTTTTCCAGTGAGGTTTAAGATGTAGGTTCTACTCGTCATAATACCGGTTGAACTGGACAGAGCTGATTTGACCATCGGCTCGAGAGTACCAGCCTTGGTCATGATCGGGGCTATAACCACGGTGAGATCGACCGTAGTGAGGATCCACTTGTCGCTGACCATTGTGAAGTGGACGGGTGCTCTGGGCAAAGACGCTCTCGTGCTTGCGCTTGCCACCAACATTAATAGGAGGTAGTTCAGGAGCAGGGCCAGTCTGTGCCTCAATAGGAGGTAGGGGCGAAACAGGAGAGACGAGCTGGTCTATCTTGAGAGCCGGGAGGGAAGTCTGGCTGTGCATAGGTCGAGGACGAGGTGCAGCAACAGGCGTGGGCGGGTATGACGGCCGCGAGTCTCGGCGGTGGTGGCCTTCGGTGGAGTAGACTGAAGGGGAAGGGGGAACGTATGTGCTGGTAGATTGTCTGCGGTCATACAATTCGTGCTTCATAGATGGAGCTGGTGAAGGGCACGAAGGAGGAATGTTACGGTTCACATAGCCGTAAGGCGCATCCGTCTTGGAGTATGGAGACTGAGCAGTAGGAGCATAAGAAGCACTGGGCGGACCGGGCGTTATTTGCAGGCCAGGTTGGTGAGCATATTGTCGTGGTGTTGGGTATTGAGTAGCAGAAGAATCTCCGAAGTCGAGATGACGCGATGCAGATGGTGCAGGCTCATAAGAGGGAGGTGGTGGCGGCGGCGGCGGATAAGCATCAACCATCGACGGTCGGCGAGAAGCGTCGGTATAAGGAGTTCGCTGTTCGCTTGAGTTGCTGTGAGATCGGTTTCGGATACTATGGGGGTCTTCTGATGCTGGAGTGATAGTCCTTCTGCGACCAAAGTCTTCCTCCCGACGTTCGAACCCGTTTCCACCACTGTTGCTGTTGCCAGCACCAGGCTTGCTTTCCCTCTTCCTCATTCGAACATCTCGTCGAATTCGAACTCGGCAGCCCTGGTCGGCAACAGTCTTGCTGAGTTGAGTACTCTCCATCAGCCCAGGAAACTTCTTAGCGCTATAGACACTGAAAGGGTCGGTCTTGATTTCCATTCTGTAGTCGACTCCGGGTGGAAGATCGCCATCGGCAGGTTCCAAATCAAAGTCTCTTTCCTCCTTGGTGGTCTCAAACAAACTGAAGGTCAGTATGTAAAGGCCCTCGTGGCGAACAGAAAGATCGGGAAAGATGAAATAACCAGCTTCGGTGGGACGGTCGAGATAGGCCATGCCAGAAGCAGGAACACCAGTCAAAATGGGTGGGTTACCAGCAGCTGGAGTATTAACTCGACCGCGCGCAAGTGGACGGGCATGCTCGAGACTGGCATAGAGAAAGAAATTGGCGTTATAGTCAAAAGTGATGTCCTTGCCCTCTTCCACACTTGGTCCCTCGATAATCCGAAGCTCGACAACCGGGGGAGGATCAACAGGTCGGCGGTCACTGTTGGCTATGAATGGTCAGCACGGCAAGTAAGTAGTAAGAATGAGAGACAAGACACCAGTGTGCAGTCAAGACCCCCATTCCCATGGCAGTCAGCTTACCTTTTGAACCAGAACCGCAGGCTCGGGCACGCTCAGGTTGCTGCAGAACAGTCAGCTGATACCAGAGGCTGCGGTTCCCTCTTGTAACTCTGTGAATCCTGTTGACAACATCGCGCTTTGGCTCGGCAGGAATCGAGGATGGTGTAGCCATATTGAATATTAATGAAGCGCGTGAGAACGCGCTGACGAAGAGAACGATTGAGAATTGAAGTAAAGTTAAGCCAAGCCTGTCAATCAGATGTTGTTAGTTTGAGACCCAAATTGACGGTTGACAGTTAGTTGATCACACGGGCCGAGCGGTCATGCAAGCGAACAGAACCACTCGATTGGTATTCAACAAGTTAATTGTTCAAACGGTTGAAAGAGGGTTTTGCACGTTGGAGGTGATGAATGGTTGGTTGGCTTCTGGCAGGGAACTCACCCTCAATGTGAGACGCCCGTTAATTAGAAATATCGGGTCGGGCAGAGTAGAGTTCAGTATGGAAATTGCGTAAGTGTATTGAAGTTTGTCAATTCATTCACGGGCGGAGGGCAATGACCGTGATTGAAGACGGTAGATGTAGTCGAGTTGAAGAGAAAGAGAGCGAGGCCTCAAAGCGACATACGAGAATTAGACCAGAGGAAGGAAGAGGACGGGAGGAGGAGTAAGGTGAGGTAGATAGGTACTCCGGACAAGTGTAGGTATGAACGAGTAGGGGGAGTGAACAAGAAGAAGAAGGGGAAGCGAGGAAGCGAGAGGCCAGGGGCAGAGGCCGTTGAAGAGGCAGACCCAGGACCGTAGACAAAGTGCCTTAGCGTATGGATAGCGTATGTCGCTAAGAGACACTAGCGAACAAGCCTGTGCAGGGGACTTTAAACTGGGAGGATGCAATGGAGGCAAGGCCCATTCCCAGCCAACAGAGAACGTCCAAAGTTGGCTGAGTGGAGCTAGAGATACAAGTTGAACAGGCCAGAAAAGCAGCAAGCAGGCGAGGTTGGGTACGTAGATACTGAACAAGCACTATTCCCGTCGGTCCAGTGCAGTCAGTGCATGCAGATTTGGACGAGAGAATGGATGGATTGGTACATAGATTGGATGCAAGCGAGTACAGTGCGTGATCTAATGGATGCTAAAAGCCCGCGGCACCGCGGGTAAATACGTCGTTCGCTGGTGGAGGTAAAACTAGATCCATCACTAGAGGCAGACAGGACCAGAAAATGGCGGAATTGTTTCTAAATAGGGCAGGGTGATAGTTAAGGTTAGACTAAGCACTCGGGCACTTGACAGAACGCGAGAGAGCGAAAAGATGATGATGATAGGAGATCCATTCGAGGTGTGTGTGTGTGTGTGTGTGTATGTGTGTGTGATGTCTGATGGAAGGCTAGGAAGGGTCCCTTGAACCTCCGTGGACACAGACAAGAACAGGGATAATAATGAATGAATTGAACAACGAGGACGGTGGCTTAATTCCTAGGCCCAGGAGCCTGGCTCAGGTGGCTACAGCTGACTCGAACCGCCCACGGACGCTCTCAAAACGCCCTGTAGGCCACTGAGACTGGCCAAGAGGAACAGGCTGATCGCCTGGGATCTTTGGTCTCGGGGTCCCATTGTTGGGGGGTGTTCGTCCATGGCCAAGGAGACGGGACTTGGGATCGGCCCAATGGGAAGCTGTTGTTGGTTGAATGCAACCTTGGAGGGGAAAAGACAAGACGGGAGGCTTGGATGGAAGACCCAGGTTCCGAGATCCAGTCAAAAATTAACTTCAACATTCACGATTTGACTGTTATTTTTTATTCTTCTGGAATTCTCAGCCTGCCACTGGTGATCGCATGTGTGACGGATTCGTTAGAGTTCAAGGGCGCCAAGGCTCGTGGCGTTGTAGACTTTAGTACGGGCTCCCGAGGACCTTAATTCTGGGTAGATTCAGCTGAGACGATCAATCTCATCAGTGGCGTCTGCACAGTGCCAGCCTTGGATTTCCTGGCAGGCACAGAATACGACGGCGACGGTTACAGTTACAATTTACTTGCGGCCTGGAAAGGGGCATGATGTGATGTGATGTGAGATTTCGGGTCGGAGCATTTCTGTT